TGTTCAACTCTAGGCCACAAAAATAATCTAGTTTAATACAGTTGTAATTAATAAATTTTTCTAAAATACACGGAAAGGAAAGGAATATGCAAAGTGACTATTTGTTGATGATTTCTATCTCTCTCTCAAAATCTGATTTCTCTGAGTTAGCAATGTACTCCTGGGTAGAAATATGTGAGAATGCTAGAGATTTTCTTTTTTCCTCTTTATTGTGTATAATAAATATAGTGTGGTATAATAAATAGAATGTTTAGAGGAAGAAAATCTAGGTTCATGGCCTGCCTCTGATACTGTGTGACCCCAGGCACATCACAGCTGTGGTCAATTCCCTAAGATTTATCAACTAAGTCATACATGGCTGGGATCTGTACCTTGCCCCCATTCCCAAGCCTTACCACCCTATGCCAGACTACCTTCTTAATGAGTCCATCACACACACTAGAGCTTTGGTCATACAGTTCCCTCCAACAAGAAAATGTCCTTCTCTGTTCTACCTGGTCAATTTCTCTCTCTCATTCAGGCTCCAACTCTTGTTCTTCCTTTGCCATGGAACCCTATCCCAACTAATCCAGGCCACATTGATCCTGCCATCCTGAACTCCTATATCACAGACTTAAGTTGCTTTAGGAACTTAATTATATACAATATCATAGTTTTCTCTGATTGTTTCAAATGAAGGTCTGACCTTCCCAACAAGATTATAAGTCCTTTGAGGGTAGCAGAAAACCTTCTGCTTCCCTTTTAAAACCTAGTATGTTATTAAGCATATGATATGCATACAAAATGCTTGGTTGGCTAACATATACATTTAAATTATAGTTATGCTTTTAAGCCAAGCAGTCAATAAATAATAGGGGAAGGACCCTTCAATAACCATGCAACTATTTAGTCTATAAATTTAGCTGTAAATTTAAATCATGGCAGTTTTCTAAAGAGTCCAAGACACTCCATAGTGACCCCTTTAAAACAGCACTTTTCAAAACCCACAAAGGATTGGAAGAGATTGGAGAATGAAAAGCTAAAGGAAAGAAGCAATACAATGGGGAAGGGTATGGAAGGAGGGAGAGAAGTAGTTCCAAATTCTGGTTAATACAGTAAATGACCTGAATGTGTACTGTGAAATTGTTTTCATTGCAGACTTAAACACTGAGGCATAAAATGAAAGGAACTGATGTAGACACTGATGGATTTCTCTGCAAAAACAAATGCTTTTGATAAATATGAAAGAAAAGCAACTGTCTCCTTTATACCACTCACAGAATTACTTGTCTTTTGATAGTTCCAAGTTTGTTTTTTGTTTTTTGTTTTTGCATTTGGAAAATATGATCAAGAATTATGTCAGCATATTTATTTCACTACTAGAAAAGCAACGCCTTTTAGATAGTAGAGTTACCAAATAGATTCATCTTCCCTACAACTAGGGGCCCACAATTATTACAGTTGGAGATAGATTTTTACATTGAGACTATCAGAAAAGACATCTTTCAAAACTCTCTTTAAAAAGGTGAGTTGTCTGTGATCGCTACAATTAAGATCCAAACCAGGTTGAACCTGTCTGGTTTCAGGTTTTATTACAAATTGAAAACACATTTGGGCACATTTTAATACATCTGACTTGTTTGTTTTTTTGTTTGTTTTTTTTGATGTTATTGTTTCTGTTGTTGTTTTGAGATGAAAGGTACAAGATAGCTTAGAGATGAAATTGGCTTTCAATGTCAGATTGAAGCTCAAACTCAAATGCACTATGAAAAGTCTTGAGTTAGGATGACATAATTACTTTCCTGTTCCCACAATATTGAATTCTAGCCTACTAAAGCCACCCAGCTTGATACAACTGTGATTTCCTTAAAATTTCTTTAAAATATGATATGGGCCAGGAATAGTGATATATGTCCATGTTATCTGCTAGTGGGAGGCTGAGGCTGGTGGATCTCTTGAGTTTGAGAGTTTTGAGATGCAACAGGGCTAGAGCCACTTGGACATCTACACTAAGTCTGGCATCAGTATGATTTGCTAGCGGGAGTAGGAGGAGCCACCAGAACACCAGCCCTTCCTAAGGAGGGTTGAATCAGTCAAGGTAGGAAACAAAACAAGTCAAAACTTCCATGCCAACTGATAGGTTGGGTCTGTGAGTGGCATTTCCAGCCTACGGATAATAGGGAGACCCAGTCTCAAAAAAAAAAAAAAGGCATGGAAGAGAATACAACATGGCTATTTGTTGATAATGATCTCTCTTAGAATCTGATTTCTGTAGGTTAGCAGGGCACACTTTGGGGGAAATATATGGAGATATCAGTATTTTTTTACATTAGTATTAATACACGTACTTTGTATCCACATTAGTGTTAATATGTATAAGCAGACAGAGGCAGTTGTGGGGTATTGGACAGAGTGCTGGGCTTAGACTCTGGAACACCTCCATTCAAGTTCTTTTTTTTTTTTTTTTGGTGAGGCAATCAGGGTTAAGTGACTTGCCCAGGGTCACACAGCTAGTAAGAGTTAAGTGTATGAGGCTGGATTTGAACTCAGGTCCTCCTGACTCCAAGGCCAGAGCTCTATTCACTGTGCCACCTAGCTGCCCTCAAATTCTTCTTCTGACACTTGAGCCCAGACAAGTCACCTAAACTTTATGTGCCTCAGACACTTGTTAGTTATGGGTGGTTTTCCCAACCCCTCTTAATTCTAGTGCCTTCTGTCTCTTCAGTGTTTGTATTTCCTTTTTTTCCTGAATGTGGTATGTTTGCGCTCATTATCTCTCCCATTAGATTGTGAGCTTCTTGAGGGCAGAAACTGCCTTTTACCTGTTTTTGTATTCCCAGTTCTTAGCATAATGCCTGGCTCATAGTGGGTATTTAATAGATATTTATTGACTAATGATTGCTATCTGTATGATCTATGTTCATAGAGAGTTCCCACACCAGGACTTCCTTAAACTGACCATATCACAGTTTATATTTATTAATATGTACAGCAAGTCAGGTCATAACTTGTCTTTTGTGGGGCAGCTAGGTGGCGTAGTGGATAGAGCACTGGCCCGGAAGTCAGGAGGACCTGAGTTCAAATCCGACCTCTGACACATAACACTCACTAGCTGTGTGGCTCTGGGCAAGTCACTTAACCCCAATTGCCTCACCAAAAAAAAAAAAAAAAGAATGATAACTTGTCTTGCAAAATTTTGTTTTGTACGTTTCTAATCATCCGTAGATCTTTCACGTATCTAAGTACTTCAGCATTATCTGCCTTAGATTGCAATACTGCAATACTTTGGATTAATTTGTACAACGTCATTTACAAATGTGGATAACAATGACTCACTGTGACAAAGGCATTGTGGGTCTGATGACCCAACTCAGCATTTGAATTTCACTTTTGAAATGGTGGTGAGCCTATGCAATATTAAACCAAGCTACAGATCATTGGATAGGGTGAGCTGATACTTACACACAGTGCCCTCAGGGTTGTCTATGAGCCAGGAGGCCGAATCTCTTTAGAAATTCAAATATTACAACCATTTCTTCACAGCACTTTTTTAAAAAAAAAAAGGAGAATTATTTTGCTTTAAAAAAAAAAAGACATTCTCTTCTGGTTCAAAGTCTGTTTATGCAAGTAAAAACTATTGCAGAGCTAGAGCAAGTTCCACTAAACGAAATTGCTTAAGGCTCAATCGGTCCCCATGCACTGGATGTGGACAGAGTTTGTTCTCCCTTTGTGGCACTGCTGGTGCTCAGATCAGTGAGTTGATAGACATGCATTTCCCAAAAAATCACAGCCTTTAAAGGCTCAGATGATTCTCTTCTATTGGATTATAGAGCCTGTGGAATTAGCAGTTGAGATCCAGAGTTCTAGTTTTCTCTGCTTCCTGGATATATGTAACTTTCATTAGCTCCAGAGGACTTTAGGAAAGTATAAGGATTTTAAATTTTATCTACAAAGCTTATTTATGTGGCTTCCAGGCAGGAGGGCTAAATATCTCTCATAGGCACTTTCAAGATAGCATTTTTATCTGCTATACCTTAGGAAATTTGCATGTCTCTCGTGTTTCTGAGTGTACTTTGAACGAATTTTGGGGTTTATTAGAAAATGACTGATGCTCTATTTAAGCTTTTGGAGGTAAAGGTCTCTTTTCTTCCAAAGTAGATTAGAAAACTAGAAACCTCACACAAAGAAAGATAAGGAAGCATAGCTGTACAAGATCAAAGAAAAGCTGTCAGTTTGTTTTAAGTTACCATCAAACTGAAACAGGGAACAGGATGTTTCTCTGCAAATCAGACTTTGCTTAGAGGTAGGCGGGGGTCGGGGGTGGAGTATCTTTGCAATATTTTAATAAATTGCAATGATGATCATAGTTACTAAGAGTAGCTTCACAACCATCTAGTTGACTTCATGAACACTGAAGTTTTCAAATTCACATTATTCATTATTGTGATTAGTTTATAATTTAAAACCTTATCCTTCATTTCAGATTTGGTATGAGAACTAGTGATTTTTGAAAATTTCCTAAAGCCACACACTGCCAAATAAAAGTTGAATATTCTCTTATCCTTTCCTCTTAAACCTTGAAAAATGGGACATTCCATCAATGAAAAATGCAATGAAAAAAGCTACAAACCCACATCATTTTATTTTTGTAAATTTATATTCTGGTCAGACTGGCAATCCTACAATTCCAACACCCAGGTACAAAGGTCTGGAACATCCAGAGAGATTCCAGTGACTGTGGTAACAAATACTCCCTTTCTCCCTGATTCACCTACAGAAGCCTGACAGCAGCTTAACTGTTATGTCTAAATAAAGCTGGAACTCTTCCTCGTCAAGGGTTCAGCCTGAAAATACAGAATGCACAGTTATGTTCCGAGATTTTTGTCATATACCCCTTGAAGTAATATGTATATACCTTTTAAATAATTTCAGTGCCTGTGAAAAAATAATGTTAATAGCTTAGAATCAAAAAGATGAAAAAATCTAAGTCCAATTTTTTTTAATCTTTTTTTTTCCTCTAGCGTTTTACGATGGGATAATGAGACAGATGTCTCTCAACTGGAAGGACATTTTGACATTGTTATGTGTGCTGACTGGTAAGTACATAAAAATCATAAAACTCATGTTAGGGGGGAAAAAGAAGCTTTGCTGGAGTAATTGTGCTCTGCCGATTTGCTGATGGCTAAGCAAAGTCAACAAATGAAGCACAAAGCCACCTTCACCTCGACAAATTAATATTCATCTCCATGTGACAGTCCTAAGGTAGTCTTCTATCACACAGTAACTTCTACCACATTATTTCCCAAAGATTGATTTTGAGAAGCATTTCCATTTTCTGGAATTGCCTCTGTTTCATGCTTGACGTATCAGTAAATGGACGACTTAGGCAAATTGCAAATAATTATGGCTCAGTGAGGAATAGTCTGGAGAAAAGGGAGTTTATCAACACAAACAGCTCAATTAGCTTACTTCTTAGGAAAGATCTGACTATTGATATAAGAGGATATATGCACACATAACATACATATGTATTGTATCTATATATGTATAGATATGAGAATACATAATCTTGATATATTCATAACCATATCCTGAATATATTTTATATATGCATTTGTATGTGTGTATATATATATATATATTCACAACAACTCTAGAGAAAATATTTCTACAGTGTTCATGTTTGCTGTACAGTCGTTTCAGTTTTTATCCAGTGGCCATTGTTTTTAATATATGCTAAAAACAAAAACTAATCATAAAATTAAATTTTATTAATAAATGAGAAATTAATACTTAAGATATGGGAATTTTCGAAAGACTGGCTTTTTAAAAAATATACATTGGGTGTTTTGCTTTTTGGTTTTATTTAGCCAGACTTTGTTTGTTCTTGAAAGACTGCTTCTTTCTGAGTTACAGGGTAAACAAGCCTTAGCCCTTTAATAATTACTGCAACTAATCTCACATAATTTCTTTAGATAAGTGGAATAATATTTTAATTTATGGAAAACTTTGGCAATTATTGCATATTTTTCCATTAAATTTCAGTCCCTTTGACTCTGTGGTAGCATTTCAGATTTCTAAAACCCAAGTTGAGAGGTAATGAACAAGGTCTCATTTTGATGAGCACAATCTGGAGGTCCAGAACACTGGAACAGACAGGGCATTAGTTGAACAATGTATTTCTGGCTCTCACCAAGACGTGGCGTTTTTAGAATGAAAAGAAATATATTTCTTTTCAATCAAAAACCAAAACCCTTTTTAGTTTCAAAACATTTTCAGCTGGTCGTTTTCCTATTTAAGTCAACTAAATTATCTTTTCAGGAGTGCCTCAATGAAAAACATTTTTCAAGCTTGTGACTTTTGCTTCTTCCTCCTCCTTTCTTTACACTGTATGGTACCAGCACTTCCTTCTCTTATCATTTCATTTCAGAAAACGTCTTTGTTCCCAAAAAGGACAGACCCAGGTTTCTGACTAATCACCGATAATGTCTTAGAGACGCATCATATGATTAAAATAAGAAGCTAAACATGGCCATATGATTTCAGCAAGTAATTTTGTAAATGCCTTCCTCACCAAATAGGAGAATGGATTCTCCAGGTTTCATTGCACAGATGAAGTTAATGCCGGCAGGATTAGATCAGATTAAGTATGAAAGTCAGATCAGAGCGCTGGTGGACAAGAACAGGAGGGCAGCAGTCTTCTCGGGGGCTTAGACAAGGGTCGCATGTGGATGTTCTCCAGATTATGTGGGTGAGGCAAGGTCTGGCCAAGAGATTTAGAGTTAAATTTGTTCTTCACACAAATATCAAAACAACCTGGCTTTGTCATATCTTGTTCTATGGACACTCACACCATGTCATCCTATTTGTATTGGAGAGACTGGCAGAGAGAATAAGACTTAAGCTGTTTTCCAATTAATGTCCTCAGGTTAAAAATAGTCTCTTTAACATTTTTGAAAATTGTATTTTCACTAGAAAACAATGTGAATGTGCATACACAATAAATACATTATGCACATTCAGTTTAAACTCCTTAGTACATTCACACATATATAGACAATGAGCAGGCGTGTTGGCATTTGTACATTTAAGTGATAATAAACAAACCAAGTTTAGTTTTTAAAATTTCTTTTTAGGTGACAGATTGGTCATCCTCCTTCCTGCCTCGTACCCCCAGTTCTAAGTACCAGAATACTCATCATTTTCTTTAGTAAACATGAAAATCTAGATTGCTTTCACAGTGGTCCTGATTGTTCTATTCCAAAGATAAATATTTTAGTATCTAGTCTGTCATTGACTAAAAATGGTTAAACTGCTTAAAAACTTAATTTAAACAGCCATTGTTTATGACTTATACCTTGCACATAGGACCAGGATGGGTACTGTATTTCTTTGGACTTCTTCCCTCTTGGTGTTGCTTAGTGTCAAAGTCACTGTATGGATGTTGGTTCTGGGAGCAGGCAAGCCATATTGCATGTTTAGAATGTGACACAGTAAGGGGAAAGGAAAGCTTTCTTCAGATACGGCCTCAGATGAGGATGAAGTCTAAAGTGCCCAGTGTCAGAAACAGATGCTGCACACAAACAGAACACGTTGAGTCTCACACTGTCCTACCGTTGCTGTCAGTCCATCAGATCTGGGATTAGAGGTCCAGAATATGAAGCAAGAATCTGAGTTCAAATATTAGGTCCATGGATTAAATTCTTGTTGAAGCCTTTCCAGCAAGGGTGGTATTGTCTGACTTCTTGAATAGCTAACCAGTGGTACTGCTTGATCCCATTTACATGAAAACAAGCTCTATTCACAAACCTATTCTAAACCCACATTGAGGTTCAAGTAAAAATGCACATGATTACAACAAGCAGTGATATGTTTATGTTCCCAAATCATTCATATATTCATATATTTACATTCAAACATTCACAAACCTCGTGTGCAGTGGTGGGAATAACTTATTTCCCAGAACAGACAGTCTCTTAGTTCACAACTAAATTTAGTAGCTCCACTAGATTTTAAAATAAAGAGGCAAACTGTGAAAGCTTGTCATTATTTCCCCATTCAGCATTTTTGACAATAAAAAATAGTTTCGTGGTTCAACAGCTCCTAAATAACTTGGGAAGTGTCAACTTTGAGATAAATAGAAGGAAAAAAAAATCTAGGTGAGGCCACACCTGCAAAAAGATGTTGTTGACAAACATCAAAATACTGGAATGTTTAACCACAGGAACAGAAAAACTGCTTATTATGGCTCCTCAGATGACTTGTTTCGGGTTGAATATAATGTAAGGATTCTTTTCTGCTGGAATGCAGGCCAACCCCGTCCTTGCTGAGTTTAGAATAGCCAGTGATTGTTAATTTTAAGCCTGCCTTTCCAGACTCCTGTTCAATCACAATGAAATCTAAGGGTCTGGAAGTAAGATGTTTTTTACCCAATGAACGCTTTCATTCAGTGGTTGACGGCTCTCTAGTTTATTGGAACGCTGCGAAAAGAGAAGTGACTATGTACATTTGGATCCTCTAAAGGCTTGGAAAGCATGTCTGAAATGCCACCCATAACCTGGCCTATTGTACCCAGGTATGCCAGGACAATTGCGGTATAAACTCACCCACAGTCAGAGACTTTTGAAGACAAAATTGGGAGTGTGGTGGAAGAACAGTGGCTGTTAACTCCAACTCTCTTTTTTTCTTTTCTTTTTTGCTTCTAACCTTCTTAACACTGATTGCACTTCATTCTTTTTCTCTACTTTTTCCCTTTGATACAGAAGGAATATTTAATTTTAAGCTGTTTTTTTTTGAGGGGATGATATTTTTCCCTAAACTAGACATAACATAGATTCTAGAATCCCTTCTCACTCAACTGTGAGTTGAGATATTACAAGTATCAATCTAGGTCACAATATCATAGGATTTAGAGTTAGAAAGGATAATAGATAATCTAGTTCTGCCTCCTTATTTGACAGATGAAGGGGAGCAAATAGTATAAGCAGTATTCAAACCCAGAGCTTACTCAAAACATTGTTCTTTTTATTGTACCATGAAGTTCATATTTAAAATAACTCTTCAGTATGTTGAATCTAAAGAAAGTTAATTAAATGTGATAATCTTACCTTTAAAGTCCAGTGAAAGTATTAATTTCTGCCAGATTACCCAAAAGACATTCTCCAGTCTGGGAGCTCACCCATTTCCTTCTTAGCCAATATTGCAATGGATGTACTCATTTTCTATATAGAACTATATTCTATATAGACCATAGAATATTATTGCTAATGAGTAGAATGAACACAGATCATCCATCATCTTTCCCTTTAATTAGATCCAGAATGTTAATAGTAAGAGTAATAACAGTAATAATAACATTATGTTAGCAATATGCCTTGGTTACAAAACATTGTACATTTGCTGCTTACAACACTTTGAGGTTAGCAGAATAAGTGTTAATATCTCCCCCTATTACAGATGAGAAAAGTAAGGCTCAAGGAAATGTGGTCTTGAGGCTAGATGAGTCTACTTAGAAACAGGAATGAAAAACCCAAAGCCAGCTCTTCTGATTCTTGGGTGAAGGTACTTTTTTCTTCTGCATGGCATCTTCCTCTTTGACTCAAGGACCAATAGTAGAGTTAGCCCCATAGACAAATTGCACAAAAGCTTTGGTTTGGAGGTCGAACTAGGTTAACTATCAATCTTGCTTAGTAACTGAAGATAAATTTGAAACTATATCTCCCTCTCAATGAGTGATTCACTGAGCTGTGGATCCACTTAAGTTAACAGCTATTTTTCTAGCACGTTAGGATTTATTTAAAGGGCGAATTTTTTTTTCCAGGAGATTGTGAGGGCAGATACCTTCCATTAAAGGATATTGAAATTGCTCTTTTGACATTTTCTGCAAAGTCTTGTCAAATTTGTGCTGAGGCTGAGGCTTGGTTGGAGAACAGAACTACTAGATAGCCAGAAAAATTTTCTCGGGTATTTTGGCCACCTAACTGTTGAGGGATAGATACAGAAGACAAATGGTCAAAAGTTGAAAAAAAAATTGGCATCCTATGTATAGATACATGTCAACTCTCCTTTGTATCTGATACATTTTAAATGTGGTTGT